AGCAGCAGCAGCAGAAGCAGCAGCAGGAGCAGAAGCAGCAGCAGGAGCAGCAGAAGCAGCAGCAGCAGCAGTTGGAGGCACCGAAAGCAGCTGGCCTGAAGCAGTTGCAGGATGGGGAGGCCTCCTTAGCTGCAGATACACCGCAGCAGTCTGGGGGCCCAGGTGTACATACACCTGGAGAGGGAGAAGACGCTAAGGCGGACGCGCAGCAGCAGCAAAAGAAGCAGCAGCAGCAGAAGCAGCAGCAGCAGCAGAAGTATCACCACCATCACCAGCAGCAACAGCAGCAGCAGCAGCAGCAGCATGAGGCAGCAGCAGCTGCAGCAGCAGCGGAGGAGGGGAGACAAGAAGAAGAGACGCATAAGCCTGTTGGGGGTCCCTCTGGTGTTGCTGCAGCTGTTGAAATGCACGAGACAGAAAGTAAAGCCCCTAAGGAAGAGTTAGCTGAGGGTCTGAGCATGCAAGAAGAGGGGCCCCCTAAGGAGAGAGATTTGCTGCAGGAAGGGGGGCCCCCTCAAGAGAAGAAGGGGGCCCCCGTGGAGGAGGCAGGGGGCCCCCCTGAGGAGGCAAAGAAGGGGGCCCTTAAGGGGGATATGAGGGTCCCTATAGATGCTAAGGGGCCCCCCAAAGAGGGTAAGGGGGCCCCCAAAGAGGGTAAGGGGGCCCACAAAGAGGGTAAGGGGGCCCCTCATGAGAGAGAGGTATTAGGGGCCTCTAAAGCTAAAGAAGAGGTGGCGGGGGAGGAAGAGTTTAATGAAGCTTGTTTATCTTATCTAGGTGCGCAGAGGGCCCCCGAAGAAGAGCAGGGGCTGAAGGAGACAGATAAAACACAAGAAAAGGAGAGACTTCTCAATAGGGGCCCTGAAGATATAGGCCCTGAGGAAGAAGGGGCCCCCCCAAAAGATAAAGAGAAGCAGCAGCAAAACTTACAAGAAGGGGCCCCTAAAGAAGCACAAGCACAAGCAAAAGAAGAAGCAGCAGGCTTAAGCGAGGAAGGAGGGGGGCAGAGCAGCAACAAAGAAGAAGCAGAAAAACAACAAGAAGAAGGGGGCCCTCAAGAGAGAGCGGAGGCCCCCAAAGAAGCAAGAGAGGCCCCGCAAGAAGCAGAGGGATATATAAAAGAAGAGGCCCCAAAAGAACAGGTGGGGGGCCCTGCAGAAGATGTGAGGGGCCCTAAAGAAGGAGACACACTTAATATGAATGCAGATATAGAGAAGGTAGGAGACATTAAAACAGAAGGGGCCCCTAAAGAAGAGGAAGCCCTAAAGGAGACAGGGGCCCCTAAAGAAGAGGAGGCCTCTAAGGAAGCAGAGGCCCTGAAGGAAGAAGAGGAGGCCCCTAAAGAGGGAGGGGCCCCTGAAGAAGAAGAAGAAGTTTCAAAGGAGGAAGGGGCCCCTAAAGAAGCAGAGGCTCTCAAAGAAACAGAGGTCTTGAAGGAAGAAGAGGAGGCCCCTAAGGAAGCAGGGGCCCTGAAGGAAGAAGAAGGGGCCCCTAAAGAAGAAGGGGCCCCTGAAGAAGCTTCAAAGGAGGAAGGGGCCCCTAGAGAAGCAGAGGCCCTCAAAGAAACAGAGGTCTTGAAGGAAGAAGAGGAGGCCCCTAAAGAAGAAGGGGCCCCTGAAGAAGAAGAAGCTTCAAAGGAGGAAGGGGCCCCTAAAGAAGAGGAGGCCCCTAAGGCAGCAGAGGCCCTGAAGGAAGAAGAGGAGGCCCCTAAAGAAGTAGAGACGCTGAAGGAAGAACAGGAGGCCCCTAAAGAGGAAGGGGCCCCTAAAGAAGAAGAAGCTTCAAAGGAGGAAGGGGCCCCTAAAGAAAAGGAGGCCCCCAGGGCAGCGGAGGTTTTGAAGGAAGAGGGGGGGGCCCTCAAAGAAGCAGAGGCCCTGAAGGAAGAAGAGGAGGCCCCTAAAGAGGAAGGGGCCCCTAAAGAGAAGGGGGAGGCCCTTGATGAGGCTGGCGGGGCCTCTAGAAAAGAAGAGGGTCCTGAAGATGCAGGGGCCCCTAAGGAGAAGGGGGCCCCTAAGGTTGGAGAAGACAAAGGGGAAGAGGCCCCAAAGAAGGAGGTTGCTGATGAAGGGGTGCCACCTGGAGATAAGAAGAAAGCCTCTGGGGCGCCCTTAAAGAGCAAAGGAAGTCTGCAGGGGCCCCTGCACAAAAGGGGCCCCTCAGGGGCCCTACACTCTAGGAGGAGCCTAACAGGGCCCAGAACAGAGCCCAGCAGCAGCGGGAGACAGCCCCTTCAAACGCGACATTCAATGAAAAACAACAAAACATCTCAGACAACACCAACCGCGAAAACTTCTTCTGGGGTTCATAGGGGGGCCTCGGGGGCCCATGCAGGGGGCCCCAGAACAAGGGCCCCCTCAGGAACAGCTGCATTTCAAGGAGGAAGATCAGCAGAAACCCCTGCAAGGGCTGCTACGCTAGGATCTCACGTGTCGCGCACGTCCACAGGGGCCCCTCTGGCAAAGAAACCCCCAGGAGCCCCTACAGGGGCCCACCGAGGGACCCCTAGTCCAGCAACAACACAACCTACAGGGGCCCACCGAGGGGCCTCTACTTCAGCAGCAACACAACACACAGGGGCCCACCGAGGGGCCCCTAGTTCTGCAACAACACAACCTACAGGGGCCCACCGAGGGGCCCCTAGTTCAGCAACAACACAACCCCCGGTTGCAAAGAAGCGGTTGGAGCAGAGAGCGAACAGCTTGATGCATTCTTGGCCGTCGACAGGAGAAGAAAAGAGCGGAGATGCTGGGGAGGAGGGGGTTAAGACCCAGTTGAGAAGGGGTCTATCTCACGGAACTGTAGCGCCTAAGTCGGTGCATCCTACGAGGCCAGTGCAGAAGAGGTGGAGATGAAATTAAAATGAAGTTGTTGAGCTGTCGTTGAGGTGTAAGACGGGAATTTGAAGTGCCTTCGCTGAACTATGCGGGATGGAAATGAATTGAATTCATTGAAATGCAGAAAAATATTTTGATGTGACGGACGCACTGAGCTGCAGAAGGTGGAGATAAAACGTATTCTTTGAGCTGGAAGAGATGGATATAGAATGAAGTAAAACGAACGAAACTATGAACAACGAAGTCATTGAGATGCATCATTTCGTTGTAGGGGTTTCTTTCGTTGAGGCTGCACAGTGCAAATGCGCCACAGAAGAGGGGTTTAAAGAGGAAGGAGAATATGGGATATTGGAAGATGAATTTTTGATTTGTTTTGTTTTTGAGGGAAAAGAGTTCATTTGCTCATGATGCTGGGTTTCTTTCATTTTCCCGCTGGTATTCACCCAGCTCCTTTGACACTCGGGTGTATGCGCAGCTCGACTTGAACTCCCAGCGCAGTGACGATATTCTTTTTGTTTATATGAATAAATAGTGGCAGTGTTTTCTAGTGAACTTATTTTGCAGAAAATGCGATTCAACGTGGGCCTTGTTCTGTGCGTGGGAACCGTATTTTTGTCAGTTTCCCTCGCCCGCTTAGTTGCAGCCGAGCAAACGAAACAGAAGTCGAGGTTTCTTCCCCTGGGTCCGGTGAGGGGAAGAGGAAAATGTATATATTTAATTATTTCTTCTTCATTTTCATGAACAATTCAGGGAGCCACGACTGCACTGAATGCGGCGCTTACGGGTTCACCTGATTTCCAAATTCGAATTCATGTCGGTTTCAGTAAAACTTGAAGTTGAACGATGAACAGAAATATGAAAGATAATGCCAGGCACCGGTGGAGGATACACAGGACACACTGGCATCTTTAGGTGGGATGACTCGTTCTTAATTATTTAAATCGTTTAAATTATCAACGAACAGTTGAAGGAATATCTTTTGATTAGTTTTTAATGGTAAATTCTCTTCAGATTCGCTTATTAAGCTCGAGGAAGCAGAGAGGCGCATGGACGAGGAAGACTACGCCTCTGAGAAACAGCGGATGTTGAACGTGCACAAGAACCGAATTCGGTTGGTGTTGATTATCCATTAATTTTAACGAAATTTCAACAATAAAAAATTAATTTATCCTTTGACTTATTGAATTTCTCTTCAAAAACAGAGATCTCGTATACGCAGCATTTGAACCCCTCCACGGGATGGTAAGAAACTTGAACAGCACAAACGCGGCGAAAGAGAGCAGCCCGTGATGATGGCTATATTTGTCTTTGTCTTGCAGATTCCCAATCCTATAACAACTGAAGTGATTGAAGGTTTGTTTAAATAATAAAAAATACACAAACAAACGACAGAAACTACTTGTTTCCTACAGCTTACCACCGCACAGCGTCTCCAATGGCGGCTGCGTAGGCCTGATAAGAAAATCCCAGACTCGCATGCAGCGTTTCCTTCCCGCATGCAGCATATACTTCTTTTGCGTATTAAAGAGAGTTTTTATTTTCATGTCTTTGTTTAAAATACTTTCATGTTTTTAAATACCTCTTGAGGGAGGGGCTCCTCTCGTTGCTGAGGCCCCCACCCTAGTCGCAGCGCAGCAAAATCGGTAGGGCAAAATACCTGCATGTCCTGCTTGTGTTTTGTAGGCGCTAGTTTGCCGCCCTACATTGTTTAAACAATTTTAGTTGCAGTTCTTTTGCTTCGTTTCCCTTTCGCATATCTTCACATCTGCTGGGGTCAGCCCCTGCCGCTGACCCTCTGCATGTCGAAGGCGCCACGCTCTGTCCTTTCTAGAGAAGGGGTTCTTTTGTTGCTTTCACCTCCTTTTCTTTTATTATTTCTTTAGCTCAAAGTGCCTGGGATCGTCAGTTCTCAGTTCCACATGCTGTAGACGACGGCAGCAGCAGCAGCAGCAGAAAGGCAGCACCAACGGCACCCGCGAAGCAACAGCATCAGCAGGAGAAGCACGGCAAAAGTAGCAGCAGCAGCAGCAGTAGCAGCAGCAGAATTGCAGCAGCTGCAGCAGGATCATCGCAGTGCAGGATCATCAGCAGGAACTCTTGCATTTTTCAGAAGAAGATGGGGCGAGTAGAGCGGTGGGGCATCGGCGTTCCAGCAGCAGTAGTTGGGGTGTACATATGTCTTTGTCTGTTTATTTCGCCTTCTGTATGGACGCCCGCAGCTGCACTGTCTTCTTCTGCAGCAGATATATCATGGGATGGCCGCATTGTAGCTATCGGCGATCTGCACGGAGATGCAGAGAATGCGATGTTGCTGCTTGATGCGTTGGGGGTTTTAGACAGAAACACCCGAAAATGGACAGGAGGAGACACTCTATTAGTTCAAACAGGAGATATAGTTGATAGGGGGCCTGATGGTAAGATCCTCTACGACTTATTTGCAGAACTTAAGCAACAAGCAGAAGAACAAGGAGGTAAAGTTGTGCAAATTTTAGGCAACCACGACGCCATGAACCTCTGTGGAGACTTCCGGTAAGAAATCCATCGAGGGTTTAGGGTTTAGGGTTTAGGGTTTAGGGTTTATGGTTTAGGGTTTAGGGTTGGAGATGATTTTGTGTGTATATGTGTGTGTTGAGTGAATATTTGTTTATATGTTTCTTTGTTTGCTTTCGCTGTTGATGGTAGAATAGGAGTTTGTTTCTTTGATCGTTTTGCTGATGATTGTAGTTTATCTTTAATTTGTTTATTATTATTGTTTAATTTATGCTGTTCTTAGGTACGTACACCCGAGCGAGACAGCGCAGTTCGGGGGTTTGCACGGCCGACAGTTAGCGTTTTCTGAAGAAGGGAAGTATGGGTCTTTACTTCGTTCATTTCTTCCAGCAGTTCGCATTAATAAAATTATATTCTCGCATGCAGGAGTAAGCCCTCCTTTCGCTGCTTTGGGGCTGCAGCGGCTGCAGCAGCTGCTGCAGGAAGAGCTACGAGATGGGTGCCGACTGTATCATCAAAAGCAGCGACTTGAAGGCAGCGGAATACGCTTAGGTTTATTTGCAGGGGGTAGTGAGGGGCCCTTGTGGAGCCGTCTATACACCCTATCACCAGAAGCTGTTGCATGCCCTGCACTCAAACAGGCGCTGGAGCATCTTAATGCAGAGTTGATGGTTGTGGGGCATACAGTTCAAGAAACATTTCGTCTAGAAACATATTGTACAGGAAAGCTTGTTGCTATCGATACAGGCATTTCAAGATATGTAGCGAACTCCCCACACGCCTTAGAGGTCACCCCAGAAGGAGAACTCTTCGAGGTGTCTGTACAGCAGAAATATCAACCCCAGCAGCAGCAGCAGCAGCAGCAGCAGCAGCAGCAACAGCAGGCTGCTTCTGCAGCAGATGCAGTTCCTATTGCTGTCTTCAAACGGAAGCTGGATGCTGCTACGCTTTCGTTTTATGCAAATAAGAAGGATAAGAATGCCAGCAAGACATATCAAGAAAACAAAGAAACCCTAAACCCTAAACCCTCTGCAGCCGATGCAGATGCTGCAGCCGATGCAGATGCTGCAGCAGCTGCAGATGCTGCAGCCGCTGCAGCAGCAATTGAAGACGAACTATAGGCAATGCGGGGCCTCCCACAGCCGCGGGGGGCCCCAGGCCTCAGCAGCCGCCGTTAAGAGGGGGCCTTTAGTACGACATAACGCATGCAAACTCGCAGCAGCAGCAGCAGCAGCAGCACGATACAGTGCTCTCCTGCTGTAGCTCTTTCTTCTGCTGCTGCTGCTTCTGCTGCTGCTTAGAAGAAGCAGCAGGAGAGCCGCCAGCGGTACTTCCTCTTAGGTTGTGGGGCTCGGATGAATTTGGGTTTAAGGCTGTTGCTGCTTCCTGTGATGTCATTTGTATGCATGCATGCATGCATGCATGCATGCATGCATGTACAGAGCAGGCGCAGGGGCTGACTGGCTATATACATATATAATTCAATTTGTTTATGTATGCTTATGCGACTGAGTTGTTTTCTCTGTTTTGTTGTTTGTAAATATTTGTTATTGCTGTGTTTCTGCAGCAAAGTGTGTGCAGATGGTGAGGTGTACATACACCCCGCAGTGCCGCTGCATGCATGCAATTAGGCGTCTCTTTTGCTTTTATTTCGTGTATCTGTGTATGCATCTGCATTTATAGAGGCCTCTATCTTTGTTTTCTCGTGCCTGTCTGTGCATATATATATATATATATATATATATCTATGCATATATATATATATATATATATATCTGTATCTAGATCTATATGTACATATATATATAATATATATTAATGTTTAATTGCATTTGTTTATTTGTATGTATATTTATATTTTGTGTGTTTAGTGTTTATATAGCTGCAAGCACTCATATGTTGTATATGCATGCATATAAACAGAAAGTATAGGGGCATATACAAATATATATATTTATATATCTAAATGTATGCTTATAGGTGTATTGTCTGTTTAAATCTAAATTTATATTTATATTTATATTTATATTTACTTTTCATATATAAATATCCCTACACCACGCGCTGCTAAGCTAAGAAAATGCATATATAAATATATATTTATATGCATATATGTTTATTTAAATATATGCTTATATACATATATATTTATATATATTTATATAATTGTGTGCGCGTATATATGTATTTTTATTTATTTATACATTTGTCTCTGTATATCTATATTCTATATAATATATATTATATATATAATATATATAATATATATATATATATATTATATAAACAACGTGTATATATAAAATGCATACATGCATAATATAACCTATACACGATATATAATCTACACCTCCAGCATATATACATATATATACATGTATATATTATATATATATACATGTATATATATTATATATATACATATATATATATATATGCTGTGTGTGCATATATATAATATGCTTATCTATACTGTTAATACGTAGTATAGATATGCATATTATAAATAAATATAATCAGCATGTCTATACAATTAATAGATAGTTTAGATATGCATATTATAAATATATATATAATATACATATCTATGCTAACAATACATAGTATAGATATGCATATTAGTAAATATATAAATAATTATATATATAATTTTATTCAGTGTATTTGCATGAGGCGTTTTATAATGTAAAAAACAAACAAAGTTCTTGAGGAGTTTATTTATAAAGTTTATATATTAAAGGAGTATGAATATAAATAAATAAATAAATATATATATATATATATATATTATATATAAGTGTATTAGTATATCTACAATATAAGTATATATATAATAAAATAAATATACATATATATATACATATATATATATATACATATACATATATATATACATATATATATTTATATATACATATTTGTTTAGCATATAGAAATATATGCATATAAACATGTGCACGTTGACAGTGCATAAACTGTACAGAATATATCTGTAGATAACAATATATATTTATCTACAGATAATATATAATATATATGTACATATATATACATTAATATATATATATATATAATTTATATAATCTATAAATATACATATGTACACAATGTATAAACACATATATATATAATACATATACATTAAATATCTATCTATATATATAGATATTTAATGTATATATATTATAATATATATATATATATATATTATATTATATATATATATATTGCGGCAGCTCATCTGCCTGAAGAAATTATCTAAACAAAGAGGAGAAGGGGTACCCAGGTTGCATGCAAGCGCAGCAAGAAGACACAAAGTGCATGCGTGCGCGCAACTGCTGCTATTGCTGCTGTTGCTGCTGCTGCTGCTGCTGCTGCTGCTGCTGCTGCTGCATGCAGCAGCAGAGTCTGCTGAGAGCAGCAGAAGAGCTTGTCTTCTGTGTTTGAGTGCACAACACCAAATACATTCTTCTCGAACCCTCTTCAGGGTTTGGGTGTCAAGGTTTAGGGTTTAGGGTTTAGGGTTTAGGGTTTAAGGTTGACGAGCTGTATCTGTTGCAGCTTGCAATTAAACAAATACATTTGATTAATACCTTTGATTTAAAAAGAAAAAATATTATATTTGAACAGCAAACAGGAACTCTGCGGTGTACGTACACTGCCGGAGGTGAAGGCTTTCATTTGTACAATAAATTAACCCTAAACCCTTTCTCTGTCTCTGTCTCTGTCTGTCTCTCTCTCTGTCTCTTTCTCTGTCTCTGTCTCTCTCTCTCTCTCTCTCTCTCTCTCTCTGTCTCTCTCTCTCTCTCTCTCTCTATATATATATATATATACGTCTGTAGAT